AGTTGAAGTCCACACATCTTAAAGTCGCCAAGGTTGAAAAACACTGATCTAGAGCAAGTTAAATCTATCACACAGGCTTTCTCAAACTAAGTATCTCCCAATTGGGTTTCATTCCCAGAATTTTCTGCAATTCTGGGGAAAGTTTGGGGAAAGCCGTCAGTGTGAGTTAGAAGGGAGGACAAAGACTGTAGATCCATGTGATCTCTAGGTTGGTGGGTCGTTAAACCCTTCTTCCCTGAATGGGGGCACTCCGGTTAGGGGCGTCTGCAAGGCATGGTCAAAAAAATCACGATGCCAGCTGCGATGGTGAGACGCACATCAAAAATAGGCAGAGCTTCCATCGCACCATCACGGGCACCATCTTGACTTTTCTGACCCAACCCTGGCTCCAGATGTGGTGGGACAGCTCTCCGGAGGTCTGTAAGCCTGGGATCCTGTGTCCCAGAGTTGATCCAGCCCTGGTCTGTCCTGGCTGGGGGATCTGCGACTCTTCTGACCCATTCTGCTTTCCACAGATGGACTATCTAGAACCGATGGGTGACAACATCAGCGGCATGGCCCGGTGCCCGTATGATCCTAAGCATGCCAACGTTGCCCTCTTTACAGGTCAGTGCTGTGGGAGGGAGGTGCTTCTAATTTCCTTCCTATCCCCACCTCTCTCCCCAGAGATCTCTGAGTGGTGTCCTTTCTCCCTGTGCCCTTCCCCTTAAGAGGCAGGAAATTTGATCCGGTCTTCTTGAAATGGCTTAGAAGGCTTGGTGGATATTTCTTTCATCTGCCTCTTAATAAAGTTGGTTAGTTGGAAAAGATGCCGCCAGACACCTGATTTTTAGAGACCCATGTGCCTCTCCTCCTACAACGTCTACAGTTGGGCTGTTTTGGGCTTTCCAATCTAGCCTACAGACTTCCCTTTACCTGGTGAACTCCCGCCTAAGCATTAAGCCGGTTTGATTCTTTTGAACTCTCCAGGATCAAATGGATCCTTGGCCTCACCATGACTCAGGGCTCTTCTTGTGTCCAGTTTCCCAACCAGCATTGGCATCATTCATCCCTCTGAGTGCCCACCCCTGCCCTTTTTCTGATTCCTCAAAAACTTGGCCATTGATTCCCCCCGTTTCCTTCTGCTCTCCCTCTGCCCAGTTCTCTTTTCCCCCTTTCTCTCTTCCTTTCTCCCACTCCTCCCCAATTCTTCTCTTTGGCATCCTCTCTGTTGCATTTCTCCGTGGCTTTGCCTGTTTGAGTGCTGTGGGGTGAGCCTGGAGCGCTCCCAGATATTTTTATTTAACCCTGGTTTCCCTTTTCTGCTCGCATCACTTCTTCATCCATTTTCTTTTTTCTTTCTTTCTTTCTTTCTTTCTTTCTTTCTTTCTTTCTTTCTTTCTTT